GTGAGAATCTCGCTTCAATCAACCGAATAATAAGTAAAAAAAAAAAAATCAACCGAGTAATTTGCTCTCACAATTCTTCGAGTGAAAGCTTTTAAAACTTCACCTGAGTATTCACAAGGAAAGAAAAAATGATTTCGTGTCTACAACGGATCTTGGCATAACACACATTGCGTGCTTTGGTTTGAGTTCCAAATTAGAATCCCAATATTAATCGATAATCGACTTTTTATTGCCAATTACACGAAGATAGAGTATTTTGGTACTATAAGAAGAAATATAACCGTGAACAAGAGTTCGCCCTAGGAGAAAACTCTCACAGGCCCGATTACCTGGGTAAGTTTGCCGCCGCTGCCTCCAACGATGGATCTTCTCCGCCTTGGCTCCTTAGACCAGATTTGAGTGGCTCGTCTCCTCCTCTTGAGACTTCACCACCATCGTTCCTCTTCCTCCGCTGTTTCGCTTTCGTCGGTAAGTCCCTCTTCTATACCTCTCAGAACTTAGACCTTGAATCTATGGCTACATCTCTGATCCTCGCTCTCTCGCCATGGAGTCCGGTGAACCTATCCCCGTCTTCTTCTTTCTCCGGCTTCCATATCCGGAGTTTTACACCGACGTCACCAAATCCTCCCAAACCTCTGGTGCCCCCAGATCTGTCGCCTGCTCCGCCGTCATGGATCTCTGCCTCGTCGGATCTGGACTATGCTCCTCAACTTTGTATCATCAGAGCTCCTTGTCTCCCATTAGCACCAAAGCTTGTGTCTCCGGATCTCGAGATCTCCTCAAGCGAAAATCCTTCAGCGATAATCAATGTTCTATATTCTCCAAGCTACGCCTCTCCAACGACTCGACCCAACGGTACAGTGGCCCTCATGGTTGCTCCGGTGGTCACCTCTTCGACAAAAGCTTCTTCAACGACAACAAAAGGAACACAATTGTTGGTACACTCTTATTACATCTTCTATATCATAGAGAGTACTCTTGCACTTGTTTGCTTCCCTTACAAGGAGATTTACACTCCCCAACATTCTTCCTCTATGGAGAGACTCATATCCTCCTCAATGGAAAAACCTTCATCCTTTAAGGAGAGACCCACGGAAAGATACCATTCACCAATCTTCTCCTCGATGGAATGTCTTTTACAAAGCTCTACCTCAATGGCCATAGTGCTAAATGTGCGAGCAACAATTGACGACGACGTGGTTTTGGGAATCAAGAAGGCTATCATTTCAGTCTCGACAATAATGTGTTTTCGGATTTGTGGAATTGTGTCTCCCTACTTATCTCAAAGGCTGCTACTAAATGTAACTCCTTTGTTTATATCCTAATTCTACCTAGTCCATGTTTTAACAATGTTGCTACTCTTAAATTTGGATTTTCTGCTTTGATGGCTTATAACAACTATATCCTCTTTTGATTTATAAAAGAAATATTTGCAGATAAGTCACAACATACTAGTTGTATATAGCATAGTGTCATAGAATTGAGTTTATAGACAGATATATCACAAAAGTCTTGTAAAAAGACGTTAAACGCTATATGACTACTCTGTTTGTAATTCAGTTTTTGTACATAATAAGTTGAAAAGTCTTCTGTTGTCAATCCGATTTTGTCAGACCAAATTTTAAAATAACATAATGGGAAAGATGAAAAAAATATCTTTTTACAATATTTTTAAAATTTTTATTTTCTATTTATTTTTTCTAAGAAAACGTTTTGTTTTTTGCCATTTACTCAGATCTAAAAAAAAAAAACCTACAAGTAAGATACACTTGAGAATTCATGTTTTGGGAAACTCTTCGCTCTTACACCAGCGAAGCTCAATTTCTCCGGCAAGTTAGTTCTCAATTTCTTGGGCAGACAGCTAATCACTCGAAAACCGTTCGAGCTTTGGTTTGTATTTGCTGGAAAGCCTCTGAAATTCTCTATTCGTGAATTTTGGCTTCTCACCGGCCTTTCTTGTGGTCAATTTCCAGATCAGTCGAAAATTAAGGAGATTACCGCCACTAAAGAAGGATGTCAGCCGGTTTGGGATGTCTTATTCGAAAAGGTCTCCAACCCCTCTATCGATGATTGTGCTGCCATGTTATGCGATAAGAGCCAAGAAATCGAGGA